TGGGTTGTGATAAATTTAGGATATTAATTGTAATTCCCAGAGTAACCACTCAGAAAAAAAATTTAAAAATATACAGGAAAGGAAATGAGGAGAAACCAAAATGGTACATTAAAAAAAGAAACTAAATACAAAAGAAGGTAATAATGGTGGAACTGAGAAACCAAAAAAAGTAAGACACAAAGGAAATAGCAAAATAGCAGAAGCAAGCCCTTCCTTGTCAATAATCTACTTTAAATGTAAAAAGATTAAATTTACCAATTAAAAAGCAGAGATTGGCAGAATGGACATTAAAAAAACAACCACCATGATCCAAATATATGATGTCTAAAAGAGGATTCACTTTAGATCCACAAACACAAATAAGTTAAAAGTGAAAGGACAGAAATAGTTATTCCATGCAAATAGTAACCAAAAGAGAGCTGTGGTGGCTTTATAATATCACACAAAACAGACTGTAAGTCAAAAATAATTACAAGAGATAAAGATAGAGATTACACATTGATAGCCAATCCATCAAGAAGATAGAACAGTTTAAATGTTTTTGCACCCAACAAAAAAGCCTCAAATAAACATGAAGCAAAAACTGACAGAACTGAAGGGAGAAATAGTTCTATAATAACAGTTGGGACACTTCAGTAGCCCACTTCAATAGTGGAAAGTTTCTCAAAAACTTAAATATAAACTTACTATAGGATCTAGCAATTCCACTCCTAGGAATCTACCTGTGAAAACTAAAATCATATGTCCACACAAAGATATGTTTGTGAATGTTCACAGCAGCAATACTTACAATAGCCAAAACTTAGAAACAATCCAAATGTTCATCAACTAGTGAGTGGATACAGAAAATATAATATAGCCATACAAAAGAATACTATTTTCTGCAATAAAAAGAAAAAGCCATTAAACTGTGCAACAATATGAGTGAACCTAAAATGGTTATGCTAAGTGGAAAAAATAAGACCCAAAAAAGCACATGTTGCATGATTCCATTTACATGAAATTTCCAGAAATGGCAACTTTTTAGAGACAGAAATCACACGAGTGCAGTCAGGTACAGAGAATGAGGGCACAGTCACAAGAGACCTGTTGGGGCTGCTGGAAATGTTCTAATCATAGTTGTGATAGTTGCACAACTCCATAAATTTACCAAAAACTACTGAATTCACACTTACAGTGGATGTATGCTATGGTATTTAAGTTATGCCTCAATAAAGCTGTCAAAAATGACTCACATGTTTCAATCTAGTTTTGGCAAAAGATGTGAAGAAAATATGTAGTTTTCACATTCGTACTTGCTCTAAAGATGTTAAACACACACAGCTCTCTTTCTGTAATGGCTTAGGTGTACTTTTCTTACAAGTAAGGGACTGAAATTAATAACTTTTAACCCTCTCCTTTCCCTATGACTGTATATTCTTATCAGATTAAATGATCCATTCTCAATGGTACAGGTAATTTAGAGCATGAAGAAAAATCTTGAACTCAAGGACTGAACACTCCCAGTTCCAACTATTCATCAGCAACCCTGAAGGTTAGTGAGCTCCTGATTTGTAATCTGATTTGTTGAGGAACACATTTGAACTCTGATATTCTAGTGTGGAGAACCATGTTTCTTCACTGGTAAAGTGAACTGGCTCTCCAAGGGAAAACATTCGTGTTGGTCTTTTTAAATAATTTGTACATAAACTTTCATTGCTAACCTTTGGCTAATGTCCACAAACACATAACAACTATTAGGAAAATCATTTTTTAAAAAAAACTCATCCTGAAATTGCCAACTACTCACTTGTCGGAAGTCTCAAAATCACTCTTATCTTTAATATTACTACAAATACATCAATGGACTTGGTAAATGTCTTAGATTTCCCAGCCCTCTCTCAAGATTCCCACATCAATTTAACAAAGGAAAGGCCCTTGTTGAAGTTAACAAATGATTCCCTTTCACAATAGTTCTATAAACAAAGCCTTAGTGAAACTGAGTTTCCTGTTTATGGCCATTAATCCAAGTTACACAAACACACAATTGAGACTGCTTTGTCACAAGTCAGTGTGTGCTTCCCTATCAGTATCATTCAGGTCAGGTATCAATCCCTAGTCATAAATTAAAGTGTAATGAAGGAACATATAAAAGATGCGTTTGAACTGTCAATGAACAAAGTCAAGATCATATGCTTGGTAAACATGTACATTTAATTCCTTGTGAGTATAGTATTTTGTAAGTATAGTATTTATGCCAATTAAGCTACACCAAACACAAGGTTATATTTTTGACATATCCTTCCACTTCATTTTATCACCTTCTCTATCAGACATCAGTAATGTTTTTAGATTCCATAAGAAAACATTTAAAATTAAAGCACAAAGTATGACATATTTCTGTTGTAATTACCTTTCAACAGAAAAAAACTAACTTTTTAAAACATATTTTGAAAAGCCTATTTTTCTTGTCTACTCTTTACATTAACTCCTTTACAGCCTTTAACTGTATCTTCACTCCCCCATCCTTTCATTAAATATTTTCCAAGCACCTGTAGTGTTCCAGGCTTTGTGCTAAGCAATGGAGACACAGCTGTGAACCAGACAGCCAAGATCCCTGAATCCCAGAGCTCTCAAACACCAAAAACTCAGTGTCTGAACAGTAACAAGTATGTAAAATCTAATTTAGTAAATCTCAAGTCCAGAGAAATCACAGTGAACTTCTTTCACACAACAAACAAAACCCAGACTTTTAAAACTCCCTGCCTGTTGACCCATGCTACCATTCAAGTATCAGCATTGTCACTACAGAATCAGGACCACAAATCCAGGTTTCTGGTTTATTCTAAGAGTTGACTTTTATTCAGTTTTCACATTTTTTGCAAAATCCTTTTGGCTTGAAATTCTAAATCCTGGCTGACCCCAAAGATTTATTTTTAGAAAGTTTGAAAAATAGAACTACTTTAGTTAACTCTTCTCCATTACCCACCTTAAGCTGCACATGAGCAGAGGCAAGACAGTCACCACACAGGTGCAATGAACAAAGTCAAGATCATATGTTTGGTAAATAATTTGTACATAAACTTTCATTGCTAACCTTTGGCTAATCATCCTATTCTCTCTTCTCTTCTGCCACCCATCTTCCACCACCCTTCACTCTTCTGAAAGGCAGGTCTGTACCAGCTGGGCTGCCAACACTGGGCTGGAGCAAATGTCTAATAGCCCAGCTTCTGGACCTCAGCTTCCAACACACTTCTCTCCTCAATTAGATGAGAACCTCTCACATCAGCGACAAGTGCCGTTTCTCAGACACTCAGCTGTGAAAGCAGAAAGCACTCAACTGAGCGTCTGGTCACCCCTTGTTTTTAGGGAAGAATAAAGCCTAACACCAGATAGCATTCTTTTACTGCAGGCTGCACCTTGGCCTGGAAATGCAGCCTGCCCAGTGACCTAGAAAGCCACTTCCTACTCCATCTAGGACTAGGAACCCGGTTCACCCAGGTTCAACGACCTATCCTGGAAACTCAATCAGAACCAGAACATAACTTTTCTGGACTTCCATAACAATAGTGTCAACCTATAAGCACTTGATAAAAATAACACTTCAGGAGAATGAGAGTGAGCCCATTTCTATGCAAATCTGGGGCAGAGGAGACAGCTGGAAATTCCTTCGCCTTGTCTTTGCTCTCCCCTTAATTAGAACAGTTCTCTCCAATGTGTGCCAGGCAATCCAGTGGGGTGCAAAAAGGAAATATTAAAACATTTATTGTACTTAAAATGAAGAAATCAATATTTATTAATAATTAATATACAGATTGCTTAGTCTACACACAATCCACAAGTCAGCTGGTCACAAGTGACCAATGGTCCTGAACTTCTGCCCAGTGGAAGAGAAGGGGTTCCACCAGGGTATCATCTGACCAGACACATCCAAGCTAACCTGTGCCCAGTTAAGTGGACATGTGGAATCTATTCTCCTAAATAGCTGAACAGTCACAACCTTGTATTGAAACAGGGAGCGACCCCCAAATCCGACTATACCAGTTCACAAGTTATCTCATGGTAAAGTTCTTAGAAGACTTTTTAAATTTAAAGATGAGTTACACCTTTTTATTTTTCACAATTCCAATTCTGACTTCTTTCAGAATGACAAGTGGCTGCCTGCCAGTAATATACCACCTGAAAGGTATTTATAGAACAGCAGGCATATCTACCCTGGTTCATCAAAGTAAATTTGCTGCTTTCACAATATGTGAAAAAATAAATACTATTCTAAAGAAATACATGATATAGAAAGAGTGTTTTGAGAAATCGATGTTTGGAAATGTCTCAGCTTTGGTTGCTGAAAAGATGGAACCACATTACTCTAAAAGTTCTCATCTTTGCACATTTTAAAAACATGGAAACAGAATTTCATAACAATTTTAATATTTTCCAAAAGAAAACTTGTGGTGAGCTTTGAATCTATTGTTTAAAGCATGAAACACCACCTTCCTACCAGGAAGTATTGAATGCCCCTGGAAAAGTGAACATTTACTGGCAAAGTTTCTACTTGTAAAAAATTTTGGAATAACTGAAGGATGAGGCAGAAATATGAGCACCAGGATTTAGCTAAGACAGCATCAGACCTGTGCATGTTCACATGGGATTCCCTGCTTAGAAAGGCCCATCACTTAATTTAAGGCTCTGCTATCACGGTCTTGAAATTTGTAAGTTTTGAATAAGGGGCTCCACATTTTCATTTTGCACTAGACTCTGTAAATTACATAGCTGGTCCTGGAACTCAGCAGTCAATGGAATTCTTCCTTTTGAATCTATGGACTTTTGAAGGTATCATTTCAGCTATTCAGTGACAACCACTAAATTCAAGTATTAATGTAAAACCAACTTTGAATCAATGCCTCGTAAGTGCTAAACTTGTCGGAAATAATTGTACACATAATTATATCATATACATATCTGTATATTTGTAAACAGTTATATGCAATCACAAAACAGAGAAAGCAAAATTACATGGGACAATTAACAGAGAAAATTGTTAAGTATTTTCATCATTATTTTCTTTATTTCTGTTTTTGCATGGTTTATAGTTTATACAAACAATATATTAATAAAGCAATACATGCATATAAAATATAAGCAAGCACATATTGACACTGCATATTCAACAATTTGTCAGTTATGAAAGTGCATAGTCAAAAGAGTTTCTAAAACAGTGACCTAGATTCTCAATGATAATCTTTTTCACTTTTGGAGCCCAAGCTCCGAAACTGCTTCCTCTTTGGAGGATTTGGCTGTGTGCAAATGCAGCTGCTCTATTCAACGACACGGGCAGGTTTCTTAACCTGCTCACCTGCTCGGTTTCTAGCGCTTTGTGAGGGTCGTGGAGAAAGAGCGGGCACACCTCCAGATGCTCATGAAGCTCCAGGGATGCAATCAGCACCCCAGGGGTTCCTGGTACGATTCTCTGTCGGGCTCGGAGCGTCGTGTCTAGCTCTGTTCATTTCAAGCCTGACTCGCCCCAGTGACGGAATGGTGGCACTTCAGGCAATAGGGTGAAGTGCATCTTTTAGGTGCAACGGAGTGAAACTATATATAATCTTAAAAAAATTCTTTTAAATACCCGCAAGAGCCAACTGCCACCAACTTCTCAGAACAAGGTCTGTGAGAAGAGGTGCCTCTAGGGAGGCGAGCGTATGAAGCCTGGGCGGTGGGGGGGGAGGCGGGGCTCCGGCCCCGCGCTACCTGGGTGTCCATGGAGACTGGGACCGCAGTTCCACCGACACCTTACCGCGCAGCTTCAGACCTTGTCCTCCGTGTGCCCAGACTGAACCTGGCCTCTATCCACTTCGCGCGCTTCGCGCATCCCCGCCTCGGGCGTGTGGGTAAGGGCGGGGCTCCCGCAGGGTCACTCCCGGAGCCGCCGGCCCGCGCAAGGACTGGGGGGCCCTTCCCGGTCGCCTGGGGTCACAAGCGCGCTTCGGAAGGGGCCCAGTCCCTTCGTCCCGGGGCCGCGGGAGGGTGGTCGCACGGGGAGGGCGCCCGCCGCCCGCCGCCCTCGCGCTCTCCCGGGTCCTCACCTGGATGGGGTGGCCGCTGCCGGGGGCGGGGGGACCCCCCACCAACTTGCAGTAGAGCTCGGGCCGGGGCCGCGTGCTGCCGGCCTCGCGCTTCCCGCAGGTGGCGGTGGCCCAAATGCGCGCCGCCTCGGCCAGGTTGAAGTAGGGCGGGTGCAGGCTGAGTCGGGCCGCGGCCGCGCACCCGGCGGGCACAAGCGGTCCCAGCAGCAGCGGGAGGAGCAGGAGCGGCCTGGGCGCCCAGCCGCGAGCCCGCGAGGCCGCCGCCATCCCGCCGCGCACGCAGCTCGGGCGCGGGCGCCGGCGCCGCCGGCTCTGGGTCGGGAACCTGCCGCGGGCGCAGCGCGCACCCGGGAGCTTACAGCGCCCAGCCTGGCCAGCGGCCACCTGGTCTGCCCGCGCGCCGCAGCCTCGGCGGGCCGGGAGCCAGCAGGCGTTCCCCCGCCCCGCCACACTCCCCAGCGGCGGGACCGCCCCACTTCCCACCGCCAGGCAGAGAAGCCAGCTCTGGACCTCGGACACGGGGGAAGGAGGCCCGCAGTAAATTTGGGAGAGACAACAGAGGAAACGGCCACTGCCTGCAGAGCTTACAGTGGAGACACTGATTTCCCAGACAAGTCTCAGATGTCAAAAGACAAGTCTTGTCAGTTCTCAAACACTGCGCACCTCTGACATCTGCTGCTGCACTGAGTCTGGGGGAAGGAGCTCGCGGGGAACTGGGCGTGGCGGGACGTACACTTTTCAAGCACTGCCAATAGCGCAAGAGGTAGCGTGCCAAATTGGAGAATTACCTTGGGGCAAATCCTTTACATGCCCAACCTGCTAAACTTTGCAGATAAACTCAGAGATGTTGAGTGAATTAATTAAACTGCCAAACTGACCTCCAGGCAAAAGTCATTACCTCTGGGCTGACACTTCGTCTAGTATGCAGGACACTTCACCGAAACCTAGCATTCCTAGGCCTGCTAAGCATTTAGAGGCGGGTGTCATTGCTGACGGCCAGGACAAGTAAAATGTTCCAGAGTAAGTAGGAAGTAGAACTAGCTTGAGTTGGACATGGCCCGAGCAAAGACTGAGATAGGATAAATATGGTACAATTGAAAGGAGAGAGAACTGGCCAGTATTATTTATTAAATACCAGGGTGTGTTGTAGAAGGAAGTGTGTCTACTTAATCTTGTGTTAGTTCTTCAAAAATAAAATGAGGGGGAAAAGAATTTGTGAGCATACACCAAAAGGAGTAGCCATAAAGACTGATAAATTACCCAAAAAATAAAAGTTTGTACATTAAATAGCACCATAACTAAACAAAAATGGAAAACAATTGAGGGAGTAGTAAATTTTTACCATAAATGACGTGAGATTAATGACTTTAATATTATTCAAAACTAGAAAAGACTGAACACTCAGCTCTGAGAAACCTAATACAAGTCACAGGGAAAAAAATTTTAAGCTAATGAACATATGAAAAAATTTTTAACTTTTCTGGGAATTGAAATGTAAGCAAAGCAGTAATGAGACTCATCTTTCACCTATCGAACTGGCAATTGAAAAGAAGTAAGGGAATCAATATCACACCTTTGGTTGAAATGAAAACCTTATAATTTGGGTGGCAGGCAATTTTTGCAGTGCTTACAAATGACTCTAATGTGTACGTATTTTGCCCTAACAATTCCACTTGTGCGAATTTATATTCAGGAAATAATTAGGGATGTTTGCAAAGATTTAATGGCAAGTACTTATCAGTTTGTTTTTTTTTTTTAAGTTTAAAAGAACCTTACTGTTCACCAGTAAGGACCTAGTCAATTAAATGATGGTATATCCACACAGTGAAATATTACAAGGTCATTAAAATGATGTTATGGAGTATATTTTCTGATATAGAATGATGTCCACAATATTTTAACAGAAAAAAAGATATAAAATAATGTATGCAAAAAATGAATCATATTTCTAAACACTAATAATAAACAATCCAAAAATGAAACAATTCCACTTAGAATCAAAAAGAATAATATCCTTAGGAACCAGTTTAGCAAAAGAAGTGCAAGATACAATGAAAACTATAAAATGTCCTTGAAATAAATTTTAAAACATCAAAATAAATGGAAAGACATCAATGTTTATGGATTGAGACAACATTGTGAAGATGACAATATGCCCCAAAATAATCAACAGATTCAACACAATCCCTATCAAAAACCTATCATAGATTTTTTTTTTTCAGAAATTGACAAGCTGATCCTAAAATTCATGTGGAAATGAAAGGAACCCAGAATAGCCAAAACAATTTTGAAAAAGAACAAAGTTGGAAGACTCATACTTCCCAATTTCAAAACATAATACAAACATACAGTAATCAAAACAGTGTGGTATTGACATAAAAATAATCATATATATCAATGGCATAGAATTCAGAGTCCAGACATAAGCCCTTACACTTATGGGTCACTTTATTTTCACCACTTTGAAAAATGCCAAGACCATTCAGTGAGGAAAGAGTAATCTTTTCAATAAAGGGTTCTGGGACAACTGGCTATTAACATGCAAACACATTGAATTGAATACCTACCTCATACCCTACTCAAAAATCAAATCAAAATGGGTCAAACACCTAAATGTAAGAGCTAACACTATAAAACTCTTAGACAAAAACATAGGAGTAAATCTTTGTGGCTTTGCATCAGGCAATGGTTTCTTAGCAAACATAAGCAAAAGACAGTAAATTGAACCTTATCAAATTTAAAAACTTTTGTACTTCAAAGGACACTATCAAAGAAGTAAAAGGACAACCCAAAGAATGGGAGAAAATATTTGCAAATCATATATCTGATATCATATCCAGAATATAGAACTCTATAGCTCAATCATTTAAAAAAATTAAATGATAGAGAAATGATTTAAATAGGCAAATCTTTGGAAAAGATATAAAAATAACCAATAAACACATGGAAACATGCTCAACATCATTAGCCATCAAGGAAATGCAAATCAAAACCACTGTGAGATATCATTTCACATCTACTAGGTTAGCTAGATAAAAAGGACAGATAATAACAAGTATTAGCAAGGATGTGGCAAAACTAGAATTCACACATCACTGATGGAGATGTAACATGGTAAAGACACTTTGGAAAACACTTTGGCAGTTCTTCCAAAATTTAAACATGTGGCCCAGAAGTTCTAATCCTAAGTATATACTGGAGAGAATTGAAAACACACATGCACACAAAATCTTGTACATCAGTATTCAAAGCAATGTTTGTAACAGCTAAAAAGTGAAAACAGCCCACTGCTCACCAACTAATGAATGGATAAACAAACTGTGGTATAACCATACAATCGAGTATCTGCAGCCATAAAAAGGAATGGTGTTCTGATAAATGCAACAACACAGATAAACCTTGAAAACATTATATTAGGTGAAAGAAGCCAGACACAAAAGGCTACCTATTGTTTGGGGAGTGACTGCTAATGGATATGGAGCTTCTTTTTGGAATGATGAAGATGTTCTGGAATTAGATAGTATGACAGTTGTAAAATTCTGTGAATATGCTAAAACCACTGAACTGTGTACTTTGAAAGTAAATGTATGATATGTGAATTATATCTTAATACAGCTGTTATTTAAGAAGAATTTTTGCAGAGCTGAAATACATAAATATAAAAATATACATGAATGTGTGAAAGCAGACTCAGATTTTGAAAGCTATAAAATAGGGTTTTCAAGAGTGGATATATGGGATAGAGAGAAGGGACTTTTTTTTATATTCTGTTTGCTTTATCAATATATTTTTAATTTTTCCAATAATGAACCTATATTGTTTTGTCCTAAAAAGAAATTTTTGTATATTAATAAATTAACTGAATGCCCAGCACTATCTGGTATAGTCCTGCTCAAGGTGCCCAACTACCTAAGTTGACAAAAGAAGACTGAGAGAACATGAAAAGATAGACTTCACATACTTCTTATAAAGTCCTTCCAGCCACAAGATTATTGGAAGGAAAATATTCAACAAATGGCTGAGATTCCAAAATTATTTTATTAATATGCAAATGTAAAACAAAATCTAAATTAGAGAAGCTGGTCTCTATCCAGCCAGTAACTCTTCCACAAGGCTAGGTCGTTTCACTGAGATGTTCTGACATCAGGGTGGGTGGTCAGCAGCAGAACTGACCATCTGGGGATTCAAATCAAGGCTTCTTCCTCACAGAACTTCCTGTTTTGCCATTACAGGCAACAATTAAGAGCATAACATGCAAATTTCCTTTATTGTACAATGACAGTATTTCACTTTGATCTATTGCATTTGCTAGTCAGATACATAATATCACTGACTTCACATTGTCACTGCAGTTTAAAAATAACTTTGTGATGTCCAAGTACAGTAAGCATGTTTGCCCAGTGAGAACAGCTCTAAAGATGAACCGATTAAAGCTGCAAATCTAAAGTTAACAGTGGTTAGTTAACTTATCTCTCTAAAGATTATGTATCCAAAATGAACATTCCATTGGGGGCACCTGCCCTCCACAGTCCTTGATTTTAGAGATAGAAAGAGAATGATGACACTTTGGTTGGGGGAGGGGATAAAGGCTGCTCTGAAGTTTAAATGAAGGAATGTATGAGCATGTGCTTTTAAACACTAAAACAGAAAACATAAGGCAAATTTGTGTTTTTAAGGTAAAACAGGGCTGTTATGTTTTACTGGGAAAAGATAAGGCTTGAAAAAATGAAATTACTTGCCCATGTTTTAAGAAAAACTAGAATATTAAGCAGAATCCAGGACTTCTGATCCTGTTAATGTTCCTAAAAAGACTGTGGGAGCATAAGGGAAAGAGACCCCTGGGTGAGGCCCATTTGAGTATGAAGGCTGCGGAAGTGTCCAAGCACAAGAGGAACTCAGGTTCACTGTGCCCTAGAGGGGTGGGTGTGACAGACATGCACAGCTGGTCATAAACAACCCAAATGGATTCAGATAAACTTGGGGTTGGCTGGTCCCCCAATACTTGTGGAGTGATGCACAGCTACATCCTTCAGATCATAGCGTGGAAATGCTACTTGCCATGCCATTGTTGAAAAGAGTTTCCCTAGAATCAAGAACCTAGACATGGTGATAAGGAGCGATAACCTCACTGTGTCTTGCAAAGGCATAATCAAGCACCATACTGTGCCTTTAGTACAGCAATACGCCTAACATTAGACTCACAGCTGATGCTCCTTTAGGTCAAAGCACAGGTTTCTCCTTCCAGTTACCCCTCCCCAACAGCAGCTTTTCTCTTCTGTCTTCCCAATTCTTCCTAGTAAGACAGGGAACATGGGCTTAGACAGAGTAGGGTGAGAGCCTCCGGAAAAAGCAAGGCAAAATATTTACAGTTAAAGCAATGTAACAATGTAAAGTCCCTATTGAAACTCTGTGTTCAGCATTATGCAAAGTCAAGGTCACCCTAATTCTCTAGGGTAAAGATACTTGACTAGGAATATAGACATCTTCAGTGAGATCAGTTAAAGGTTAAAAGGCCAGGAGTGGCTTGGCCTGGAATGTTTGAGTGTTCCGCAAGGGTATCTCAGCATAACCTGTGACTTCCCTGTAAACAGACAACAACCCAGACCACCTTGAGGGCAGGCAGGTGGCACAAGCCCACACCCTAAGCCCCTAGTTCTCAAAAATCCTCAACCACCTATAAATACCCTAGACAATGCATCACCCTGGGCTCTCTTGTTCCCTCCTGGCAAGAGCCAAGAGCTCTGTCCTCTCACTTTATTTTTAAATAAAAGCCTCTGCCCTGGCTCTCCTACCTTGACTGTTTGCTA